ACACACGCACACGCGCACACACACGCACACACGCACACACGCACACGCACGCACACGCACGCACACGCACACACGCGCACACGCACGCACACGCACACACGCGCACACGCACACATGCACAAACGCACACATGCACAAACGCACAAACGCACAAACGCACAAATGCACAAACGGACAAACGCACAAGCACACAAACGCACAAACGCACACACGCACAGACGCACACACGCACACACGCAGCCACGCACACATGCACGCATGCGCACACGCACACATGCACACACGCACGCCCACACACACGCCCGCACGCACACCCACACGCACACCCACACGCACACCCACACGCACACCCACACGCACACCCACACCCGCACGCACACCCGCACACCCACACGCACACGCACACACGCACACACGCACACACGCACACACGCACACACGCACACACGCGCACACGCACACACGCGCACACGCGCACACGCGCACAACACGCGCACACGCCACACGCCCACACGCCCACACGCCCACACGCCCACACGCCCACACGCCCACACGCCCACACGCCCACACGCCCACACGCCCACACGCCCACACGCCCAACGCCACACACACACACACACACACACACACACACACACACACACACACACACACACACACACACACACACACACACACACACACACACACACACACACCCACACGCACACGCACACCCACACGCACACGCACACGCACACGCACACGCACACGCACACGCACACGCACACGCACACGCACACGCACACGCACACGCACACGCACACGCACACGCACACGCACACGCACACGCACACGCACACGCACACGCACACGCACGCGCACACGCACACGCACACGCACACGCACACGCGCGCGCGCACACGCACACGCGCACGCACACGCACGCACACACGCACACCCACGCACACACGCACACCCATGCACACATGCACACCCATGCACACATGCACACCCATGCACACATGCACACCCATGCACACATGCACACCCATGCACACATGCACACCCATGCACACATGCACACCCATGCACACATGCACACATGCACACATGCACACATGCACACATGCACACATGCACACATGCACACATGCACACATGCACACATGCACACATGCACACATGCACACATGCACACATGCACACATGCACACGCACACGCACACGCACACACACACACAGACACAGAAGCCTGAGAACCACCGAGGGGTGAAAGGCCTCAACTCGGCGAGCAAAGGGCCACACCCGAGAAATCTGCGGAGCATGCTACCATGCTGTTGTCTCGTGGCGTGGTAGTGGTCCAATACTTCTTCGTTGCGTCTGTAGCGGCGAAGTCTCCGGTCCAGGAACCTTCGGTTGTCTGCAAAAATGGGCCCTTTCGTCTTTGCAGTCAAGAGAGCTCAGGGGGCTCAGAGTCTAGTGGTCCCAGTGACCCAAAGGAAGGGCATGTCCAGCTGCTGGGGGTGGCAGAACCAGTCCGCCATGGAAATAACAGGCACATCAGAAATCCTTTGTGAGGATGATGCCGGCCTAGGAAGCACATCCGCCACACGAGACAGGAACCTTGCAGACGTGCCTACATGAGAACGACGAGTCCAGCATGTGAGTCTAGTGCTCTTCCGCTTCAAGTCAGCATCAACATATGTTGGTTCTCTCTGAGGCAGATTCTTACGGCTACTTTTCTTTCTTGCCCTTCCGAAGTGTTCTTTGTGGCCCTTCTGAAGTGCTTTAGAGTCAGAGTCCTTCAGGGCTTCCGGCTCATCTAAGGATTCCTTTCGAGCCCTGGCCGTCGGATGTATTCCTTGCGGGTGTCATGGGCAGTGGCATCACAATGCTAACCCAAGTGGCGCACGGGCTGCGATCGAACGGGAACATGTCTTTTGATGACATCAACGAAGTTGTTCCTTGGTTTCATGCGGCACTGATCTGCGGGCAAAACTTAGATGAGTTACAGCCCTTCAAGCCACGTCTGTTCAAGACACATCAGCTCCACGAGAAGTTGCCGGAGGATGCCAAGTTTGTTGTTCTATTCCGTGACCCGCGGAAAATCTTTCTGACTAGATACCGCCGCTTCTGCAACAGCTCCTGGACTGACTATGCTCGTGTTCCTCGGGGAGCCATCTCCTTGGAAAATTTTGCAGTGGGCATCTTTGGACACGAGTCGAGCAACGAGGCATGGAAGTTCATGAGGTCCTCGCCTCAGAGACTTCTTTGGTGGCCACTTTTGGGACCTTGAATCCGCGAGTGTGCAGTGTGCCTTAAGAATGGGAGGTCATGGATCTCTTGCTGCTTGGGCAGCCAGAGGGTGTGCTGCTCTCAGCCTACTTTCCTCATACTTTCTCACTCACCAAGTGCCCAAAGCTCTTGGGCATGCTTCCAGAGATGCCTTAGAGTTTGAAGGCTCTTCGTTGCCTTCGAAGACTTGCTTGAGCGGCCTAGAGACGAGATCCGAAGGACTGCTTCAGCCAGAGGCAATCAGAACTCAACGTGTGCTCCAATCTGAGACGCGCATGTAGGATCGGCACGTTCATCTCTCCCCACGGCCGCATCTCAGACGCCGCCCTCGCTGTGGCACACAACCACTCCACGAGAAGGTTCATGCAGGAGGGGGCCCTTAAGCCGGGGAGGAGATCCGGTTTTATGCAGAATCAGTTTCCCTCCCCTCATCCTTTCAGGAGCACATCTCGCAATTCGATGACCACTTCGTGCTAAAGCACCTCAAGCCCTTCGAGGAGGCCCCCGCTGGGTTTGAGTGGCGATGTGCTTCTCTTTATGCTCTTTGACTCGCCAAGGAGGTCATGGCATACGGACGGCTTCCACGAATTCCAAAGATTTGGACAGAGAGCCTGCCCCAGGACAGGGTACACGGTTGTAAAAGCAAAGTGCTCCGAAGCCTTGGCATCGCTCTTTGAGGAGCTGCCCCGGCAGATCGAGGAGTTCTTCGAGGCGCGGAAGTTTGGAGTTGGCTCCGCAAACAATTGGCATTCTGACATTATATGAAAGTCTCATTTTTAAGTGAATCCCTGTCGGACCTCTATCGCTTCCCAGAGGCTCGCTGGAAGCGCTTCATGGGGGAGACGGGCTTCGCGAACTACAACGATTTGAGGCATGTTGTGTGTGCAAGAGCAATAGCCATCAATGCAAGTGAATGTATATGCGAGAGCGAGTTAGGTACCTCTAACAACCATCTTCGATCAGTATATATACTACACGAATGAGAGGCTTGGAGCTCGACCAACAACATAGACAGCAACAACTGCTGATCAACCATTCGCTACATTAGCTAAATACACTGGCGTTGGGTACCCTTTGAGGTCTAAGGCCTTCTTCCGTGATCTAGCAGTATCATGGGCACGCATCACGGCATTAGACTTCAGCAAGAGTTGGGAGATCCAGTGTAAAAGAACCGAATCTTGAAGAGGTGGCACTTGTTCCAAGCCTAGACGTTGTAGCCAGTTCTGTCTTTGGTCGTTCTGCAACGGGCAAGAACTCTCCGCATGAAGAAATTCCCAGTGGTGCATGGTGGGAGCTTGTACCGTCAGCAAAGGGGTGATGCCCACAACGGGGGTAGCGTCCAATTGCGATAGAGGTAAGAAAGGACTCATGATTACAGTTTCCACCAGCAAGTCGCGGCAAGCTGATAGCTCGGAGTAATGCCAGTCCTTGCGGGTCGCGCGTGGCGTCGAATCCAGAGAGAGACTTGTTGCTCCGGTGCGACCGGCGAAATCCCCCCATAGTCTTGGCAGCGATATGCCATACTGGTCAAAAGACTGGACCACTTCATAGGCGCAGGAGCGAGGCCGTTCCAGCACAAAGCCAAAACTCGTGCCACTAACCCACCTCGAACATCATTTCCGGATACCGCAAGATTTCGACCAAAAAGGCCGCGCCGGATACAAATCACCGCGCAATGTGGCACAGCAATTCTATCAAAGCGCTAATTAACCGCCCAGGATGCATCTCCGGCATGGGGAGCTCCCTTCTTCTGTGAGGCCGCGCAAGCAGGAGATGTGCAGATTGCAAGCAGAGAAGCAGAGTGCAATTAGAGTGCAAGCGGATGCCTGGACCTATAGTGCTCAACACTGTCAGGGCCGAATCTGGTGAGGCACGATCTGTGTTTCAGCTTTTCGGTGCATGACTCTTCTTGGAACTCAGTCTACTCTGACACAAGATCGAATTAACGTTCTTGAGTGAACTTGAGAACAGGTTGCCTCTCGGTGGATGAGAGGCAGGGGGCTGGTTCTCGGTTCGCCGTTAAAGCCGCAACCCTACATATCAACCATAAACCTCAACCCAGGGCATAAATTATGCGGGTGGGGGATACGTGCTGACCCTTCTGACGCGCAGCAATCATGAAGTTGTCCGATCCAAACAGGCGTGCTCATGTTGGTGGTCGCGGTTGTCGTTCTAGTGACGCGGCAATCAAGCAGATCTACATATTTCTTCAAGTGTTTGGCCTGGGAGGATGGCATGTGTATCACTGACCAGATTAGCACGAAGGTACTCATGACGCGTCAGCTGCGAGTGCGGGTTGTGGCTCTGTTTCGTGGCCTGTCTGCATCTCGCTTCAAGCTTGTCTTGCTAGTGGCAGTCTTGACTTGACTTGAGGCCGGACCTTCAAGGGTACCCTCTTCGGCAGCAGATCGCTATAGACCTGCGGCACTGAGTCTGTGCTCGTGCTCCAAAGCCTCCTTGAAGTGTTGCTCTCTTCATGCAGTGGAGCAGAAGGCCAAGCGTGGCCAACCGGCATCGTGCAAAGGCTGCCAGTCCTGATCACCTGAATCATCTGGCCTCCCGCAAGCAGCTGCGCAGCAGCCGCAATAAGGTCCTGGGCACGTTCTCGGATGTTTCTCGTTCCGCAGACGGAGTGGAGAACATTGACTTTTGCACTTCGAGATCCTCTGAGTTCTGGGCCGGAATGCAGAGCGCCTGCAGCCCAACAGAAACATCGTTAATGCAATCTGCTATCGCAGGAGAGAAAAAAAGTGCTGCAAGTACTTGCCCAAACTGCATGACTGTGTATCTTAGCTACGGTGAGCTGGCTGAGTTTGACGGACCTTGGCAATTCTTGACGGTCTCGGTGGTTTGCGTCGGAGGATCTGCTGGAGAAGGAGAGGCTCAAGAAAGAGGCAGCCGGTGTGTAATCAGTCATGGCTTGCGACATCTTGCGACATCTTGGAGCATGTTGCGGCCTCGAGTCTCATGAGGCCATCGCAAAGAGAGAACAAGCCCTGGCAGAACAGGCTTCAAGTCTTCTGTAGTCGCCAGCTGTCTCCTGAACATTCCGGAGCCACCACAGCAGGATCTCGTCTTGTTGGAAGAAGCCATAATGCTCTGCAGCCAGCAGGGCCTGCCGCTTCAAGGTGTGCTTCTTGCTTTTCAAGTACAAGCCTTGTACTGCCAGTTGTGGCAGGTGCAGATGAGACCTTGCAGAGGTGGAGGCTCGAGGCGCATGGGCAGGGCAACCCCTCGAATGAGAAGAGCCTGGGAGTGTTCCCCGTAGCACAGGGAGAGCGAGAGACTCCGAGAGACGAGAGACGGAGGCCGAGCAGCGCAGAGCTGCGGAGGAGCAGCTTCAGGTGGCCCTGGGATCTATGTTTTTGTCTGGTACACTTTCATTCTGCCTCCTGCAACTCTGCAACCCTCAACGTGGGATTTTCCATCGGCCTGCTGCGGTCTGCTTGGATCCTGCCGGGGCTTTGCCGGTGGTACATCTAGAGAAGTTTGCGCTCTTCTCACTTCGTGCTTGCGACCTAAACTTCCTGACGCAAATAAAAGCCGTACTCACAAAACTGCTCTGTGATGTTGAAAGCGGCGGCCGTGACTGTCAACAATTCAAACGCTATTTTGCTGCAATCCCCCCCCCGCTGCCCTCCATCAAATGATCCCCCAATGATCTCCGTGGAAGGGGGGGCGGGCAATTTGGGGCGGGTTGGGGTCTGGCGAGGCTTTCAAAAAGGAACGGAACTGACCAGGCTTTCAGAAGGTGCTCACTCCGGCTTCTAGGGTTTGTGGGTTCGGGCTCAGGAAGCTTGAGAAAGTTTAGGGTTGCGCCTATCCAGAAGTTCTGTGGCTCATGAAGTCCCCGTTTGGCTAGGAGGGGCTGCCCGTCCGACAACCATGCTCCTGGAGCGTTTGCCCGAAACAACCTTTGCTCCGGTTCAGTTGCGATTCCGAGACAACAACTCTGTTCAAAAGCCTCGCCGAAATTTCGCATCGCCTGAATTCTTTTCACAATTCCGGGGGACAATATAAATCAAATAATCCCGCTGAAGAATTTCCGGATGGGTTTTTCATAACTCACGGGGACCGCGCTCATCAGGATATACCATTATGTTGCTAGTGGCAGGTGCGTTGACTTTGTTGCTTGCCAGCGGATCTGGACTGACTGTAAAGCTTCTTCTCTTCCGGGAGGCAGCTTTCGAAACAGAAGACCCTGCTGTGGTGAGAAGGGCCATCACCTCTGCAAGGCACGCTCATGGCCGACACGGCTGGCATTGGCTCACCAGTTGTGGCATGCAGAACACGCGAACACGCGTACACGCACCCCTGAAATCACCCCAGGAACAAGATGCCGCCCTGACCTTGGGCAACCATTCGCAAGAAGTAGTAGTGATGCACTCAATGCTCAGGCCCGACGCCCTTCAAGCAGCGGAGGTGTGCAAACACATGAGCACACCATGGCAATTCTGCAACGAAGAGCAGCGAATGCTCCGGAAGAGCGACCGATGCTCCGTCGGCCGTGGGCTGGCTTCCTCGCGAGGACAGGCTGGTGGAGCTGGAGTTTCTGGCCAAGAGACGGGAGATGGCGCAACTGGAGTGATGCTGGCGGGATTGTGGTCGAAACTTGTTCTGAGCGAGCTCTTATGCAGCTGGATCCACATACGTTTGGATCGGGGGGGCTCTGAAGGAGGTGTTTTTACCTGCTTGACGATCTCGGGCTGCAAAGCTCGCATTCGCTGCTGCCAGGCTGTGCCTGGCACAGAACTCCAGGGACACCCGGCGGCTCCGGGCCGCCGTCGACGCCGCCCGAGCGGCCCCGGCCTCAAGGAAGACACTACAGAAAGATCCCACGCTTTCAGTAGTGTTTTTACAATGCATGTGTAAGATCAAGTGAGGTTTGTCAAGCCTCATGTTTGATCCTCAAACCTCACGTGCTGGGATTTATAAGAGCCTCTGCAGGTCAGTCTTCCTGAGCAACAGATCCAGGAGCCAACGCGTCACCTCTCCTGGAATCTGACAATTGACTGCGCACGGTGAGGAAGCTGAAGAGGTCTTGGCCGACCTTCTCGAGCAGGACATGCCAGCGTCACCTTATTAGTCGATCTCTTCGTTGCTCCAAGTCACTCCAAGTCCCCTGCTTCAAGGCTTCAAGTACTGCTCGAAAATTCGACGCTCGCACTTGCCGAGGAGAGCCTGCGAAGGGAGGCCGTCGAGCGCCTGTCAGAGGTTCAGCGCCCAACGTTGGCTTGGGCATCCTGTGCAAGCATCGCTGAAGAGGGACTTACTTGCTTTAATTAGATACGAGGCTGCAAAGCTCCGGAGCATTGCGATGCTGAAGGAGGTGTTCCAGGGATTTTGTCGGGCTCGCGCAGCCACAAGTGCTTTGTGACGTTTCGGTGAGGCGTTGTCCACCTCCGACATACTCTCCACTGAGGCGACCTTTCTGGGTTTGGCAGGATGGCGGTCAAGCGGTCAAACTCGTGACAGGATGAGGAGGTGCAGCAAGCGAAAGCATTGCTACTGGAGTTGGAAGAGGCTCGGCGCCAGCACCCCCAGCACCCCCAGCACCCCCAGCACCCCCAGCACCCCCAGCACCCCCAGCACCCCCAGCACCCCCAGCACCCCCAGCACCACCTGCATCGCAGCTGAACAGACATATCGCCGCATTCGACGCGTGCTGTGCTGCAAGGAAGCGCGGGCTGAAGCGGAAGCAGCGCAGCGCCGAGCAGCAGCAGAAGCAATCGAGGTGGCTGCACTGAGAGTCCACCGGTGTCCTTTCAGCCTTTGCGCGCCCAATTCGTTCTGTCCTTCCCTCTTGCAGATTGCGCCACATGCAGGCAGCTGTGGCGGAGGAAGACTGGGACACGATTGAGTCAGCCGGAATCTTGTTGCGTACTGGCGTACTTCTGCAAGCATTTCAGAGGAGATGATTGATGTTTTGTCTGGGTGTCTGGGGAGAGGAAGGAAGCAGGGGTGGAAGGATGATGGAAGGGTGGTAGAAGGAAGGAAGAACATGGAAGCACAGTCAAAACCTATGGAGCGCTTCGCTCCGGAAGACGAAGCTGGATGATGCACGCATGATGCCACGTCGGTGGCCTCTCCAGACGAAAACGCAGCTTGGCCAAGCGTAATGCTGCCAAGCCTCTGATTCGCGCAGAAGAAGAGCGAAAGGATGGACGATCTTATTGGAGGCACAAACAGCGCCTACGACGAAGCCTGCCTACAGCACTGCCAAGACCATGAGGCACGTTCTTGCCTACAACACTACGAGGACGATGACGATGATGCTTCTCCCCTTTGGTAGCTTTGAGTGGGAGATCCGATGATCATGCTACCGCCCTTTTGCAGAATCGTTGAGGCCCTGAGTGCTGGCCTGGAGATTGGCCTTGCAGAGGTGCGGGAGTCTGCGGGAGAGCCTTGAGAGTCTTGTGAGCCACTGACCCACTAAGCCACTGACCCACTGAGCCACTACACTGCTTTTCTAGGAAGGGGCACCAGTCCGGGCAGCACGGGCCAAACTCGACAACCTTCGCGAGGCCGTCTGAGACAAAACCCTTCGATGCCCTTGCTGCCTCCGCTTTTTGTTGTGTGAGGAGGATAAAACTGAAGAGTATATAATTGAGTTGAGTGCCTCTTCGGCTCTGTGTGGAGGCCAGGGAGCTGGAGGAGGCCCGCAGCACCGCCGAGGCGGCCGAGGCAGTCTCAAGGGAGAACGACTTGCGACGGGCTGCAACTTGTAACTTGTAGCTGTCCAGAAGCACAGGCAAGGCTGCTGGAGCTTCAGAGCCAGGAGCAGGCGCTAGTCGGAGCACGGCACAAGAAGGAGCGCTCCGCGACACGCAGCTGCAAGAGAGTGGCAGCACCTGCAAGGAAGAAACAGGTTGGACAGTTCCATACAGTTCCAAGTGCTGATAAGGATCGGGAAGGAGATGATGGCAATCCGGAACGGTGAAGCTTACATCTCGGCGCCTTGGTCAGAAGTATCCATACTTTTTGGAATGTGAGAGCTGTTTTCTGATGTAGCATGTACTTGTGTATGTACAGATGTAACTGTAGCTTCGCTTCGGGGTGGAACGACTGAAAAAACTGAATCGGCTGATTCAGATTCTGAATCGGCCCCTTGACTGAAGATTCAGTTTCAAGTGCTCAACAGCTGTTGGGAGGTCCAACTTTCATACAAACCAGCTACCAACCACAGGCACAAGCTAAGCTGGTGTAGTCGAAGGTTGCGAATGGAAGTGAAATTTGAGTTGAGAGTGGCCCAAACATATTTTGATAGTGCAACTTCTTGGAAGGTTCTAGCTTTCATATCTTCTTGGTTTGCAATGTCCTAGACTCTGATCATTCTTACTTGAATATTCTTGGTCCACAAAGTGCGGGTTTCTATCTCAAACCAACCAAGTCAGGTTCGCCGAACTCAAAAAACTCCCGATTTAGGTACACAAACGAAGTCTCAGAGTAATCTCTAAAAGTTTCAAGTAATCAAGCTTTGCTGGCATACTGCCTGCCCATATCGCTCGGCTGACCGGCCTGCAGGCCTCAGGAGGGGGGTGGTATTCACATGGACGCGCACTTCAGGGAAGTGCAGTACTTTCGGGACGTGGAGTATGGTCAAAGCCAGATGGCACCATCTCTGCACCTACAAGGTCGCAAAGAAAGAGACCGTTGCTGTTGCAGAACTGTGATAGCCAACCTTTCTCCTCTCTTGTTCTTCTGCCAGATGCAGGATCAAGTCTTGCTTTGCCAGCATGCCAGAGAGTGGGCTTGGGGTGGGCTGCGGGTGGGTTGAAACCAGACGTTGGACAAAGATGTCAGAGAAATGGCCAATTCCTGAAAGCTCACAACTTCCATATACAATATACCCAACCTGAAGCCGTCCAAATTCAATACGAACAGCACTTGCTGAAAAGTCCGAAGTTCCGTTGTCATGTAAAATGCCGAAGAGAATCCCACTTTTTAGTTGTATTTTCATAGTTTGTTATTGTGATATCAGGGCTGGTTCGGGAATTGGAAGTTTAAAGTGCATGGTTCGAGTTGAGGGCTTGAGGCCTTGAAGATTGTGATTAAAGGGTTCAAGGGTTTGGGTTTTGCCGCGTGGCGCTGCAGTGGTTTAGCATCAAGGTTTTTTTTTTGGTTTTGGGTTTTGGCTTTGGGCTGGCACCGCAGGGGGTAGGGGTGCTGATTAAGCACTGTCAACAGACCCCCTTCATTTAGGATCGTTGAAGTCCCTACAGCTAAACCATCTAAACCCTGTTTGGGTTAACCCTTGCTGCTAAAGCTGATAAATTGTCTCGGCTAGAACCCTATTTGTTCCAGACGGGGGCCTCAGCGAAAGCTTTGCAAGTGAAGTAAACTCCGAACCGAAGCAAATTGCATAGGTCAGTTGATAGCGCGCAGCAACATTTCAACCGCAACTAGTCTTCGGCCTACTTCAGCTCGGTGACGCTGCCTGATTGCCCATGGTCCAGAGCGACAACAAAACTTCTACGGTCCTTTATCGCCAGCTGCGTGTCATGTTTTTTTTGGCCTGGTGCTTGAAAGCGCAACGTCCTGTGTCATTGTGTGCAGTTCTGGCTACAGGTGTTAATTAGCGAGTACCCGTGTGCCAGATACACCTGTTGGGCGCCAGGGATTTCTTTGCCGCGTGCTCCCTTCGGTTGTGCCTTCCTTGATCTCGACCGCACCCAGACCATTTTCCATTAACGCTGCCCCAACCGGTCTCGCAACTCAGAAATTGAAGGGTTCTGCTGATGCATGTCTGGTGTATCTGCTGGCGTTCAGTCTGAGACGGTTGCAGTAAGGCCCGATGTTTTTGGGAATTGGGCTCTGAAAAGACCGCCGTTGGGCGGGGGGGGCGGGGGGTAGGCGGGTGGTCGGGGAGGGGGGGGGGGAGGGGGCGAGGTAAGGGTAGGTACACCTTAGAAGGTTGCCTAGATCTGGATCCAAAAGTTTCAGGCCTCCGGCCTCGGCGGATTTCAGCAAACCCCACCGCAGGAGTTCAGTGAGCTCTTTAATTTTAACGCTACGCGACCCGCCTCGGCCCGGTCCGGCCCAGCGCATCCGCGTGAGCATGGTGATTCCGCAGCGCCCAAGTCGCTGGACCCCAAGCAATAAGGGTTGGGTTTAGGTTTTAGGGTTCCGGGTTTATGGTTTATGGTTTGGGGTTTAGGGTTGAGGGTTAGTTTAGGATTGAGGGCTTAGGGCTCAAGGTTCACGCTTTGGGGTTTAGGGTTTTTTTGGGTTTAGGGTTCAAGAGACGGTTCGGCTTGGATTGATCGTAGGGTTGAGCCAGGCCCCTGAGGGGGGGGTAGGGGGGTGGGGGGGGGAAGGGGGGCAGAGGGGAAGGCGGGGGGGGGGGGGGGGAGCTAAGATTTCAGGTTTAGGTTTAGGGTTTCGGTTCTAGCTTTGTCTCTTCGGCTCGTCCCGGCCGTGCTCACACCAGTTGAGCCTCCAAAACCCGCTCACCAATGTTCTGTAGTGGCTTTGGGTGGCGAAAAGGGGAGGGGGGCGAGGAGAGGGGCCGTAGGAGGGGGGTTTAGGGGGTAAGGATTAGGGGGGGTGGGGGGGCGAAGGGGGGGGGGGGGGAAGGGGGGGCCCTGCTGGGAGGGGCTTCAACTGCCTCTGGTCCTGGCGAACCGTTCGCTTGCGGACCCCGGTTTCCCAGGGGGGGTACCCATTTGAGGCAAAAAAAGGGGTTTTGGGTGTGGGGAGGATTTGGAGGGGGGTGCCTGTTCTGACAACCTATACACCTCGGCCCGAGGCCTCGGCGGATTTTCTACGAACTTCTTGTAAAGCTTAAGCTGAATTGCGGAAACGACGACAAACAATATTTTAGCCTGTCAATGCAACTATAATGTAACATCTTGAAAACGCACCATGTCACTGCCTGGTTTTGCCCCTTGAACATGACAAAGGGTGCTCATCAGAAGGTGTAGTTACAGTTTGCACTGGTATCCACAAGGTTACTTGTTTTATCTTATTTTCATGGGCCACAAACCTGGCTGACACTTCTGGGCTTGGCTTAGGCCAGGAACTTCCTGAAGAACCCGGAGCAGGCGCAAACCACATTACCGTATACTACGTATGCCGTACAGCGGCAAGCAGTTGGGCTTGCAGGAGAGGAAGCGGCGGCAGGAGCAAAGGCGGGATTTCTTGGAAGTCTTCCAAGTCGACTTTGCGCGCAGTGGGAGTGCAGCCACGAGAACAGACTCGGCCATGCAACGCAAGCTACCTTCCCGGCCTTGGTGAGATGATGTTTGTTGTTTCCTGCCTGTCGGCTTTTTGCCGAGGTTTCTGGCCGGCTTCCCTTGTTCAAGCCTGCTATACTCCTTCACTTCTCCTCCTGCGTTTGCAGCCCCTGGCATCTTGAATTTTGAGCTCTAACCTTGCATTGGTGGCCCGAGCAAGCAAAGTGATGTGATGACCTTCTGGCGCTCCGACACTTGAAGCCCTGCTGAGACACCCTTCTGAACCACCTTCGGGGTGAACCGGTGGTTTAGAGGGCCGATTCCACAGCCAGTGACGCACCGCCAAGGGCTGATCACTGGCATGAAGAAGCCGCGAGGACGATTATGAGCTCCCTCTACCGACGTTTGAGTGTGGATAGAGCTCAGACCGGAATCAAGAAATTGCTAGCCGAGCTGCTGTTGCATGTGTACAGCGTGCGGTTTGGTTGAGCCTCGGGTCTTACCCTCGCGCCATCTTGAGATCGCACCTTGGATTGGCGGCCCGAGCAAGCAGAGTGATGTGATGACCTTCTGGCGCTCCGACACTTGAAGCCCTGCTGAGACACCCTTCTGAACCACCTTCGGGGTGAACCGGTGGTTTAGAGGGCCGATTCCACAGCCAGTGACGCACCGCCAAGGGCTGATCACTTGCATGAAGAAGCCGCGAGGACGATCATGAGCTCCCTCTACCGACGTTTGAGTGTGGATAGAGCTCAGACCGGAATCAAGAAATTGCTAGCCGAGCTGCTGTTGCATGCTGCTGTACAGCGTGCGTTTTGGTTGAGCCTCGGGTCTTGCCTCGCGCCATCTTGAGATCTCACCTTTGATTGGCGGCCCGAGCAAGCAGAGAGATGTGATGACCTTCTGGCGCTCCGACACTTGAAGCCCTGCTGAGACACCCTTCTGAACCACCTTCGGGGTGAACCGGTGGTTTAGAGGGCCGATTCCACAGCCAGTGACGCACCGCCAAGGGCTGATGACTTGCATGAAGAAGCCGCGAGGACGATTATGAGCTCCCTCTACCGACGTTTGAGTGTGGATAGAGCTCAGACCGGAATCAAGAAATTGGTAGCCGAGCTGCTGTTGCATGTGTACAGCGTGCGGTGTGGTTGAGCCTCGGGTCTTGCCCTGGCGCCATCTTGAGATCTCACCTTGGATTGGCGGCCCGAGCAGGCAGAGTGATGTGATGACCTTCTGGCGCTCCGACACTTGAAGCCCTGCTGAGACACCCTTCTGAACCACCTTCGGGGTGAACCGGTGGTTTAGAGGGCCGATTCCACAGCCAGTGACGCACCGCCAAGGGCTGATCACTTGCATGAAGAAGCCGCGAGGACGATCATGAGCTCCCTCTACCGACGTTTGAGTGTGGATAGAGCTCAGACCGGAATCAAGAAATTGCTAGCCGAGCTGCTGTTGCATGCTGCTGTACAGCGTGCGGTTTGGTTGAGCCTCGGGTCTTGCCTCGCGCCATCTTGAGATCTCACCTTGGATTGGTTGCCCGAGCAAGCAGAGTGATGTGATGACCTTCTGGCGCTCCGACACTTGAAGCCCTGCTGAGACACCCTTCTGAACCACCTTCGGGGTGAACCGGTGGTTTAGAGGGCCGATTCCACAGCCAGTGACGCACCGCCAAGGGCTGATCACTGGCATGAAGAAGCCGCGAGGACGGTCGTGAGCTCCCTCTAACGACATTTGAGTGTGGATAGAGCTCAGACCGGAATCAAGA